TGACCCTGGGTTAGTATTGTTGTTTGTAACGGACTGGCCCCCAGAGGGGCTTCGGGGGCAACCAGCCCCGCAGCCGTCAGTGGCCTTACGGCCACAACCCTCTTGACCACAAGGCCAAAAGGATTCGTAACAACAATACTGACCGATTGTTGTCTGGTTGCACCTATAAGGGCCCCCTTCAGGGGCTCCGCGCCAGCCATTCTGGAAGGTGCTGGGCCAGAGCCCAGCCCATAACAACTATTTATATTTATATTATATAGGACTATTATAGAACTTATATAGATAATTATATATATTCTAGTATTTTATTATATATATATATAATAACCAATTAAAATTATAATATTAAAATTAATTATAAAAGTAATTAGAAAATTATATATTCTATTTTATTAGTTATAAGTAGCTTATACTATAGTTTGTCTTTAAGGCGCTATAGCTATCCCCATATTTCTAATAGTGCTCTTTATCTACCCTACTTATCCACTCGAGGAGCCGCGTCTTATCCAGTACCGGGATTGACTGCGACGGCTTCAAGCACTCCAAGCGCCATTCGCTGTTGAGGGACTCACTTGTCCTGTCTCGCGTGCGCATTCAACTCTCTCTTGCATTACCCGCACGCAGCGGCAATGAATGGAAATCTTCAAACAATCATGCCGCTGACCCAGGTACCCTCCTTCGGGACCGAGGTGAAAGCAACCACGACGACAAACAAGTACCATGAGGTAAAGACAGAGGTCGACGGCCTCCACGATGACGGCGACGCCCTTCTTGTCAGCTTCTCTCATTTTATCGCGCGCATCGCCGATACCACAAAGCCCTCCTTCTGCGCGCAGCTGCCGACTGGCGGGTGCATCATCGAGGCCGAGACACCACCAGCAAACACCGAGGCAGAACACGGCTCACTCAATGTCAAGAAGCACAAAGTAGAGTGCTTGCCCGGCGACCACTTTTGCATCTCCTTTTCCGAAGCTGAAACGACCACTCTTCCACCGGCCAGCGGCGCACTACAGCTCTTCGTCGCTGACGAAGACACGACCACAAGCTTGACCCTGCGACTCCGCGCCAGTCACGGGCCTCTGGACGCGGCCACCCATCTTCTCAAGCTCGCATCCGCTCTTTTGAGCTCCCATGATATTCCCACAACCCTTCTCAGCCGCTTCAACGTCGGCATCGGCCTGGAGACGGCCGTCGAAACAGGCCCCGCGCAGTCCCCGAATCTTCTCACCAGCGGCCTCGCCGACAATCCCGCGCTTGTACACACCGCTTTTGAGAACCAAGTGGCCACCCGGCCGGACAATGTGCTTATTGACCACCTGTACCGCGACGAGGACTCGTTGCTCGAGGGCGTGCAGAGCCTCACCTACCTGGACGTGCACGCGCGAGCCACGGCCCTTGCCGAGCAGCTCGTCGAGATCGAGCGTTACGCCGACTGGCAGCCCATGATCGGCCAGCAGCGCGCCGTGCCGATCCTGCTGCCGACCTGCCCCGAGCTCATCATTGCCATTCTCGGCGTGTTGAAAGCCGGGTACGCCGTTTGTCCCCTAGCCGTTGACCGCCCGGCCGAGAGTCTGCGCGAGGTTCTCGCCGACCTCCACGCCGTGCCCGTCATCGGCCTCGGGCCCGACCCTCTCCCGCATGCGCTCGGCAGTAGCTCCTCCCGCCATGCATCTCAAAGCCGTTTTCTCTGGATCGATCTGGACAATGTCGGCGGCTGGCGGAGCGGCCGCATCGCCACCGCGCCCGTGCCGCGGCCGCTGTCCGCCCCGGTGCCCAGTGACATTGCCTACGTCATATTCACGAGCGGCTCAACGGGAAAACCCAAAGGCGTACTTGTCCCGCACCGCGCCATGGTCGCCTCCATTGCCAACTTTGCCCGCCGCGCCGCGCATCTGCCTACCGGCCCGCGCTTGCGCTGGTTCGTCATGAACCTGCCGAGCTTCGACGCCTACCAGCTCGACGTGCTACACGTCATCCTCCGCGGCGGCACGCTGTGCATGGCAGAGCGGAGCCTGGTGCTGACCGACGTGGAGGGCACCATCGACCGGCTGCGAGCCACGGCCACGACCACCGTGTCTAGCCTCGCAGTCATCCTGCGCCCAGAGAAGGTGCCTACGCTGCAGACTATTGTCGCCGGCGGCGAGATGCTTTCTCAAAAGGTTGTGGCCAACTTTAGCCAATCAGCGCCCGTCAGCGGCAAGAAGCGCGGGCTGCCCACTCGCCATCTCATCAACGGCTACGGCCCGACCGAGACCGCCATTGTCGTGGCCACCGAGGACATGGCCGTGACGACCCGCGGGAGCATAATTGGCGACGCGCTCCCGAGCGCCATTATCCTAATCATCGATCCGCAGTCCGAGTCGGTCAGCGAACTTCCCGCCGGCGTCCCCGGCGAGCTCGCCATCGGCGGTCCGCAGGTCACCAGCGGCTACCTCAACCGGCCCACGGAAACGGCGCAGGCGTTTGTCACGCACGCCACCCTAGGCCGGCTATACCGCACCGGCGACAAGGCGCGTGTCGTATGGACGGCCGACGGACAGCGCAAGATTGAGATTCTCGGCCGCCTGACGCTGGACCAGGTCAAGATTAATGGCCGCCGCATGGAGCTAGGCGAGGTCGAGGCGGCCTTGCTGCACGTGGCTCACGTGCGCGAGGCGGCCGTCGTCGTCGTGCGAGGGTCCATGCTGGCTGCGTTTCTGGTGCTGCGAAGCGATGCGCGTGCGACAGAGGACGAGGTCAAGGCCGCGTGCCAGCGCCGCGCCAGTGAGCACCTCGCGCCGTGGATGTGTCCGTCAAGCTACTACGTCGCGGCCACCTTGCCGCGGACACCGAATGACAAGATTGACCGGAGAGAGCTTACACGTCTCCTAGAAGAGCGTGTCACGGTGGAAAAAAAAGAGCCAGAGGCAGCCCGTCGTATTGTGCCTAATGATCCCGTCCACACAGTCAACGGACTGAACGGCACACAGTCGCATGACAGCACAGGGGCCATTGATTTCGACCATCCCGCGCATACTAGACTACCTCCCAAGGCACTCTTGAAGCCAGCCTTTGTTGCTTCCAACGCACCTTTCAAGTCAGCCTTTGTTGAGCCAACCGCAGCTTCCAATGCCTTCCCCGAAAAACAGGGCACGAGTACAGAAGATGCTGCGACCGAGCTGGTGTACAACGGGCTTGCTGAGGCTATCGGAGACGGCGTGCGTAGCCACGGTCGAGAGACACTCACGTCCAATATTGGCTTGGACAGCATACGCGCCATGACGCTTCTCCGCACGCTGAGGGCGGACGGGGTTGCTGGTCTCACAATCATGGATGCTCTGTCTGCTTCGAGCATTCAAGATATCATCAATAAGGTCCAAGGTATCATTCTTGCCAATGCCCGGGTCCTAGAACGGCATGCAGGTGTCAACGGAAGGGCAGGTACTCTCACTCCCGATTCAGATCAAAGCGCGCGAGATGCAGCATGCCAAGCGAGCTCACAAAATAGCATGGATGGCAAATCTGCGTCTGGTCAAAAGGCTTTCCAGATCATGTCCCCTGATGTTCTGGCGCAGGACGAGACGGCTCCTGTCTTGTCCCCCGATCACCTGAAAGCAATCCCCATCGATGATGAAGACGCCATTTACGAGCTGAATGCTCAAGATAAAATTCGGCACTACGACTACCATTGTCGCGCCACCTGTGTCAAAGCTCTTCAACTACAAGACGCTGACATTGAACAAGTCCTCCCCGCAACCGGCATCCAGATGCGCCTGCTCTACCTCGCGACCGACCCCTCCTTCAACGATCCGCAGCGCTTCCAGGGCAAGCCGCAGATTGACCACGTCCTCTACCAGGTCCCGCCCGACATCGACGTCAGCCGCCTGCAGCGTGCCATCGAGACCATTGTCAGCCGCCACTCCATCTTCCGCACCCTCTTCGTCCCGACCAAGCACCCGCTGGCCGAGTTTGCCCAAGTAATCCTGTCTCACGACGCCCCGCGCGCAGCTCTCCAGACGCGCAGCCTCTACGTCGAAGGCGACGCCGAGCACGTGGCCACGAGCCCCGCGTGGCAGGAAAAGCTCGCGCTGGTGCAAGAAGACGCGGAGAAGTCGCTATCGCTCGACTCGCCATCCATTCGCGTCGCCTATGTGCAGTCTCTCGACGAGCGGCAGTGCGTCGTGGTCTTCTCGCTCTTCCACGCCATCTACGACGGTGTTGCCTTCCGCCTCTTCCGCGCCGCCGTGGCCGCCGAGTACGAGGGCGTGAACCTCCCCGCACCGCTGCTGCCGTTCCGCTCCGCCGTCACGGAGCACCTGGCGGCGGACTGGCTGGATACGATCCTGTTCCTCATGTCGCGGTACGCCAACGTGCCCGTCTTCCGCACCGGACGACTACGCCCGCGCGCATCGCTAACGCGCGAGTATGACGAGCTGCACTACAAGCTGTATCCGTCCACATCACACATGCGCCGGTTCTCCATTCAGTCTCGCGTCACGCTTAACGAGCTCATGGGCCACAAGCATACCGGGCTGCCCATGTCGGGCCAGGCGGTGGTGCAGGCGGCGTGGACCAAGATGCTCAGCCAGACGCTGCGCGCGGGCAGCCCGCACGCCGAGAGCCACGGCGGCGCGCCCACATACGTCGAGTTCACCACGGCCGTTCACGGGCGCTATTCGGAGGGCGCCCGGCGGACCATGGGCCCGCTGCTCTCCGGGCTCCCGACCATGGTGCCCATCTCGGAGATCCGGGCCGACGGTAAGACTAATAGGGACGTCTGCAACCTGCTCTCGCAGCAGCACAAGACGCTTCTGCGGCACATCTCCATGCCGTGCCCCAACATGGAGATGGCGCAGGTGGGAATGGATAGGGCCGACACGGGCCTGGTGCTGCAGATTCACGATCTGGAGCGCGAGGACGCAACTGCCCAACTCCCCGACCTGCCGCTATTTCACCACGACGCCAATCTCTTGCCACCATACAAACCACTCGATACCGGTTTCGTCATCATGGTCGAGGTCTGGCCGGGCGTCGGCGGGCGTGATGACAACCTGACGCTCCTCTGCAGTTACAACAGCCAGCGCCCGGGCTACGAGTTCCTGTCGCGCTCGTGGGTACTCAGCGCGCTCGCCAGCTTTGACGAGGCAATTTTGGAGATTCTTTCGAATCCTGAAGCTCCATTTTGCGCAGGCCCGATTCTTGTCAATGGGCATGATTAAGGCTGGACAAATTGGCACTACCTATGATATGTCACCATGTGCGAGAATTGCATTGTAAAATAGACTCTAAAGTTGAAATAATAGCATTTGGTTATTGTGTACCGGTCCTGGACATTGTCTCCAGGGTTAACCAAAGCGCAACGACAAAGACAACGAACAGGACAGTGCCACGGCGTTACAGTAAGTAAGTGCTTGCTTTGGTTAGCCTGCGTGTTCTCTTTCTTGTATCGCTTGGTTCAAAATTAGGGCCCTGGATTTCGCAACCGTCTTGGTCTTGTCGCTTATCATCTAATTAACCGAGTGTACGAATTACGAATTAGCGAATTTTAATTAGGTTTGGGTAGTCGTCTGTTCGCGCCCACGGTGCTGTTGGCGAAATAACCATACCGTTGCACCCACCTTTTCTTTTACTACCTTTACTAGCTCACCTGAGCTTTGCTTCAAAAAGGTTATATTTAGACACGGGTAAACGGGTATGCATGCAGGTGTTCAGCCTGGCTTAGGGTGCAGCGGCCGTGCTCACAGCAATATGCGACCGCAGAACAGGGCCAAAGTATATTTCCGCTTCTCACATGAAAAGCCCCATGTCTCAGGTGCTCGTATTCCAACGTGACAACTCGGGGCAAGCGACAAGTTTAGCGCTGTTCTGTGTGCTGTCCGAGCTGACGGTGCCCTGAAACGAGTTTGTCAATGCTGAAATCGACCAGACCAGTCAATCGATATTTATTTGTTGAAGTACACTAATTAGGCTCTTTTTGTGCCTTTCCAGAACCTCTATGGTTTGAGAGTTAATCGATATTACATGCAGCTATCCATATTTAGTTGAGTAGGTACAGCTTCTCATTTAATGCAGTTATAGACTAACAGGAAACGGTTCTCATGGTTGCCACTTGCCAAGTCATCATCGTCGGTGCTGGGCCTGCCGGCCTCTGCCTCGGATTGGCGTTGGCCAAGTTCAACATCACAGTACGTCTTCCTTCCCTAACAGAAACAACTGCACGTATAACGGCTCACATCTGCAGTCTATCATTCTCGAAAAGGAAACCGAAGTGACGTCAGATCCCAGGGGCGTCTACCTCACCGGCGATGCCGTCCGCATCCTCTACGACCTCGGCATCGGCGACGACCTCGAATACGTCGGCCACGCCGCCGAATCCGTTCAACTGCACCGGAGCACCTTCAGCGCCCCGTCCTTCCTGACTCTCCGCGCGGGCGCCACCAATGCGCTCCAGCAAGCCGTCCCCGAGGGGCTGCTCCAGATGCAGCCGCGCCTCGAAAAGGTGCTGCGCAAGAAAATCCAGGCCTCGCCGCACTGTCAGCTCGTGACGGGCGCTACCGTCACGACTCGCGTCAGCGAAGAGCCGCCGCGCATCGAGTACCGCGACACGTCCGATGTCACGCACCAGGTCGAGGGCCAGTGGCTCGTCGGCGCCGACGGCAAGGCGGGCGTCGTGCGCAAGCAGTTTCTCGAGCCGAGTGGCATCAAACAGGAGCCTGGGCTGCACTTTTACGACGGCACCAGCATCGCCGCCAACCTGCACCTCACCGTGCCGACGCCGGCCTCGCATCCGGACTTTGCGCTCTGGGCGCTCGGCTACACCCCGCAGCAGGTGTACGACTTGTTCTGGCCCAAGGGTTGGCACTTTTGCTGCCCGCCCGGCAAGCCGACGGCGGGCGGGCGCTTCGGACCGCACGCGGAGCGGCTGTGGCGGCACGAGTTCCGGTCCGACAACGACGATGTCGCTGACGATGCGGTCGAGCCCATGTTCTGGGAGCACATCCTGCCCATGGTCACGCTGCAGCAGGACCGGCACCGCGGCGTCGCGTTCGACAAGGCGGTGCAGTATCCGCGCGACTGCATACAGCTCCTCCGGTGCCGGCCGTACCACTGCACCCACCGAGTCGTCAACCGGTGGTTCGACAAGCGCACGGTGCTCATCGGCGATGCGGCGCACGTGTTCCCTCCGTTTGCGGGCCAGGGCATCGCAAGCGGCTTCCGCGACGCGCACCAGCTGGCGTGGCGCCTGGCGCTCCTCGCCGACCGGTTTCCGGCGCAGCAGCCCATGCCGTCGTGGGCGCAGGCGTTGCTCGAGTCGTGGGCGCGCGAGCGGCGGCAGAGCGTCGACACGACGGCGTACCTGTCCATCAGCCTGGGCCGCATGTCATCGTCGCCGCCCAACATGGTCAACCGGCTCGGGTACGGCCTCAAGACGAGCATGGACCTCTCCGTCCGCATGTCCAACGCCATCGATCCGCTCGTCAAGGTGGAGCGACAGGGCATGACACAGGTCCGTGGCGGGTGCTTTGTCAAAAAGCACCACGGCGGCGTGCGCCTGGCCCAGATTTACGTGGCGCAGGGCAGCACGGGACAGGTCGTGCTCTCCGACAGCCTATTCAGCGGCCCGGCTGCCATGACGTTGCTCGTCATCGGCGACGGGAGGGATGGCGGGAACAGACTGGCCCAGGCGACACGCGCGGTGGAACAGGCGTCTCTTCCCCCGGGCGTATTGAATAAAGCCCCAGTTGTGTTGTATAATACTCGCGCGCCAAACGGCGTGGCCGAGGCTCCCAAAGCCGCCCAGCCTCTCGAGGTCTATACGGCTCAGGAATTCGACGAGACGACGCCAGAATACAAACGCTGTGGTGGATACGACGCCAAAGCTTTTGTGAAGCGGCTAGGTGGGAAAGCGGCATTTGTTATTGTAAGAGCGGATTTTTTTGTATTTGCTTGCACGGCCAATGAGAAGGAATTGGCGAAATGCCTGGCTCTTCTTGCCGAAGAAGTAGGAAAGGGGGCTGTCGAGTAATCGCCTTCACTAGTAGATACTTGCGAATAAACATCTTATCAATCTTCGAGATGATTCATTCGGCCCAGATTGGTCGACCTGCTAGTGGCCGAAGCCGAATTTGTAGTGTCATCATTCTCATATAGCCGTATGATCTTTTGATGCAATTGCTACCAGTAGGTATGTGGAAGATGTTGTATTGTGTAGGTTCTGTGGGCTAGCGAGAAGGGTACGTACCCAGCAGCTAGGTGGGCAGGTAATGATCCTGCCCTCTGCCCTACACCCTACACCCTACACCGCAAGCTGGCAAGTCTGGTAGTGGAGGGTGTCAGCTATCATGCGAAGCGGTGAGTTAAGGATGGATAGCAAAAATGGGCGCAGGAGACATCAGACTGTTACAATCATTGGTGATACATAAACAACAATTATGGCCGAATGCTTACATGTCTCAACCTTCGCCCCGAAACACAAGGGAGAGAAAAATAGAAGTTTTGGTGGGAGCAGGATGGAGGGCGCGACGTTGAAACAGATCATCACCATGCCGACTTAAGAGCCTGACATGTTTTTGTCAAGCGCCTGACATGTTATTGTCAAGCGGCCTCCTGTTACCCCGATCATTGCTTAAAGCCGAATTCGTGGAAATGCACGCGTCGCGGTACTCCTTCCATCCTGTCGTCACAAGTGTCGCAAAGGATCCCTGACTTTGGCGAAAATTCCTTCCTGGATCAGGTAAAACACAGCCCATGATCTCGATCGGGACGTGTTGGATAATAAATCAAGCGGCCCGATTAGCCTGTTTGACTTTCAAAATCAGGCTGTCCCGCATTACCGGTCCGTGTATAATGACGATCACACAGCCAAGAGAAGAAGTGCCCCGGGTGAGGAAGAGGGCGGGATGACCCATGTAATCGGGCTTTCCCGGCGGCGCAAAAGATGCGCAGCATCTGCGAAGTATTTAGAAATGGCGCTGGCGACAGAGGTGCGAAATCTTTCTAGAATGCCGTTCTTCACGACTGACATAGCCGATAACAAGACTGTAAGTGCGCTACCCCGGGCAGCTGTGAGGTAGTTCTGATACATACCAGTGTAGGAAACACGTAATTTTCAAGCGACACATAAATTTTCATGCGGGCATTTATACTGACTCGATATTGATCATGTACGTGAGTGAGGGTGTGTCAGTTGCTATCGCCAACTAAATTTGCAGTAACAAGACGTAGGCGAGACTGGCAATGCCGTTTTTTGAACGAATTGCGGAAATTCGGAAATAGCTATTTACTATGATGTTTGGTCCCTATTGATGCTTATCGTAGTTGAGTATATATAGCCGCCTTCACCCGTGCCTGTAGTAATAATAAACAACACTCATCCACATATTTATTCACTATTTTCTTTTAACACTTACTCCAAAACGAAGCTTTCAGTTGCTCTTACTACTGTTTTTATTGGATTTACTGTGGCTGGCCCTATGGCGAAGAGAGATCTCGGTGATAATCCTAACCTCGCTACTCGACAGGTTGATTCCAATGGCTTCGCTACCGGCCCCGGTCTCGTGAGCGCTCCGGCAGTTGCTTCGCCAGAGGATGAAATCCACCCCGGATCTGGATTTTTCAACCCGGCGGGCTTCGGTATTAGACCCGGCAAAGACCAAGCGGGCTCTTAGCGACGATTCCAACCTCGCTACTCGACAGGTTGATTCCAATGGCTTCGGTACTGGCCCCGGTCTCGTGAGCGCTCCGGCAGTTGCTTCGCCAGAGGATGAAATCCACCCCGGAGCTGGACTTTTTCAACCCGGCGGGCTTCGAGTGAGCCGCAAGTAATGGACCACCGGCTCTGCATTGGGCTTGGATGTCAGCTGAATTTTGTCAAATCATGGCTCTTCAAACTGAGGTTTGGGAGTTTCGTGGAACAGCTGACTGTGATGGCTACTACGGCGGTCGAAAAGGGAGCTCAATAGAGCATTGTTCGGGACAGGGTCAACTGTAAACAGGATCGCTGTGTTGTTTCGTGTATGCAGCTACAAGTCGCGAATATATGTCATTGGTGCAACGTGTTGCCTACTTAAAAGTGAGACGGCCTGGACGAGCTGGCAAACATAAATTCTGTGGATGTATCTAAAGACAGCGCTGTGGTTAGGTTATAAGCGCTAGTACGGATTGTTAAGCCATTGTGCTGTGTAGGATGGTGGTCTTCGCCGAAGCTGGGGACCGGGAAAAAAAAATAAAAAAAATTTGTAGTGTGGCCGAAGCTCTTGATGATTGATGATGGTCCTTAATTAAAAAATTGATGGATTGACTGGTGTTGCTACCATTTTGTTGCAGGCAGCAGATTGAGGCAAGATGATGATGGGCTCTCGAGAGGTCTCATGTAGGTACCCTACAGACGGACGATACTTAACCCGTTGTCTTGTGAGCTGCCATTTCTGTCCTCGGCGGTCGCAGCGCAGCTTGGAAAGGGGTCAACATATAAGAATATAATAGAGCCTATTTGGTCATTACGAACTTGTATGTAGTAGTATGTATAGCGATTTGAAAACATTTAAGCGTTAGGGGCGAGTCGTGAATAGCAGCGAGGTCAAGCAAGGTGGGGGGCACATGCGCTTGAACGTGCAACCCCAGGCTGGTACAGATAGACCTTTTTCTCCAACACCGCAACACCGCACCGCAACACACACCCCAACGGCATCCTCGACATGCCACTTCTGCAACTGCCTCCCGAAATCTTGCGATTCATTTTCGAGCAGATCGGCTCCTCGTTCTTCCGCCAAGACTTGAACCGCCTAACCATCTGCAAACAGTGGTCCGAATTCGCACTTCCGGAATGCCAGAGGCGAGCCGTTCTCTCCGACGAAAGCCTAAAGCGCCTATTCGACTCCCAAGTCCCCGAGCGCCTAGCTACACTAAGAATCAACTGCAAAGTCTTAGGTCTCTACCTAGGGGGGGATTCTTCACGCTCCTTGTCCCGGCCTACCCAAACGCATGCGTGCACGTCAAGTAACCAAGATACGAGCGAGGCCCTGCGTGACTCATCTCAGCAAGACACCGTGGCTAGTAGTCAAAGGTTGGATAATTACCTAGTCCAGCTTGCTCTACTGGCACACAAGTCTCCCATGCTGCGTTCTCTTTGTATCCAAGCCAGGGGCTTCCCCCCAGGTCTCCACACCAGCCAGGGAGACTATCTTTCGCTGCCCACGATGCGGTCGCTCCTCTCGGTAGCCAACCTTTCTGTTCTCCTGCTGGATCTAACAGTCAACTTCTTTGATTCTGCCGATTATACAGAAGCTAGCTGCGAGCTCTGTCCAACCATTGGAACTCTTCTCGGTCGCCTTCAAGTTCTTCAAGTACGGGTCCGCACTATCTGCCCCGATGCACTGAAGCCTCGGAGTCAAGGTTACAAGCTGCGTTTAAACAAGCTCGTAGTCAACCTGAGCTTGACCACTAACGTCGCCTGGCAAACATCAGCCACGCACTCTAGACGGTGTGGCTCCAGCGGCGGCATACTTCAACTGAAAACAGACATGCAGGAACAGGCTGAGAGCCTCGTGCCACGGATGACTACGCCCGAGATGCTGAGGATAGTGACTCATTCTCTCCCGGCGATTGAAACTCGGGCTCTAGATGTCCTTACTGGCAAAATTATGATACTGGATGACGATGTAGCTTGGGATCAAGATGGGAGATCTCTCGAGGAACCCGCTACACCGGAGCCTGAACTTTCAGAAGATGCACTGGCCGCCTTCCTAAATTCAGAAGAAGAATGATTTTAGAGTAGTACAATTCGAACAAAGTGGCCGTCTACTGATTCCTTTACCCTCTAGGGAACCGTTGAACTCGGGGCGGGCACTTGAACACTGGGTACGACCCTGTTAAGAAGCGACGACTGGTAGCATCTAAATGTGTTTTTTTTAAGCTGCTATATAGATACGATCAACCCTATTTCCAGTACAGAATCATATGTCTAGTAAAGATTTTGTCTACTGGGAATAGTAGCAAGTAGGCTCCAATCTGCATACTGATTTAGCGTCACCGAGACCTTGAGATAAATCGACGCGACCTGTGGGGGAATACACTCACCAAGAACAGTTCATAGTTTGATAATATTCACAGTCCTCGTTGGTACATTTTAATTCGCTGTCGGCTACTGAGCCACACTCATTGTATGTTGGGTAAGTAACTGGCTTCGCATGGTGAACGGGGCCCTCGGGTTGGGTATTCAGAGCCATGGTGCATGAATAACGAGGATTATAGAACGGGATATGGAAGTGAAAAGAGCTTCGGCGAAGAGATTTGTACTATGCAATGAATTCAAAAGAAGAAAAAAATCGGTCGCAATGTGTGAAACTTGACGGCTCTTTTATATTTTTGACGGGGACTCCGAAGGCCAGGCAGGCGTAGTAGCTGCAGGAGCAGTCACGTAACACTAATAACAAGGCCGGTTACAGGCAACCCGCCAAAGGCAGACAGACTGCACCATTAAAAAGTCGACCTCTACTTGCTGCTTGAAGGGGGCCTCCGCTTGCATAGAAGCGACCTATAGGTACCTACGCGCGTGAGGCCTATTTTTTAATAAGGGCTATAAGACATTTTAGTCCTTAGGTATATCGCTAGGTATATATATATATATATAGAGGTCCTAGATATATAGTATAAGAAAATTATAATACCTCTTAATAGGCTAATATAAGCTAATATAGGTTAATATCTTAATATAAATAGAGAATTCTAATAAATATTAGTTATTATCAAGACTAATAGGGCATATATAGGGTAAGAGGTAAAGTTATTGTATTATATATCTTCTATCTGGTTGTATGGTACAGATAAGTGCTAGATATACTAGGTAACAGGAGATTGTTCTTCTAGCTTCTAAGCTGCTTGTTATTACTCTAATGGTCCTTATAATATAGCTAATGCCCTCCTTCTCTACGTAATTTGCATATTGCCTTTAATAAACCCTTCTTTATTTTTATTCCTAAACCCTCTAGTATTAAATTATAAAAGATTATTTTCTACTATATTAAGCAATCTTATAAGTAGATATACCTATACTATAACTAAGAGATATAAGGCTTAAGAGTAAGTAAAGAGCTCTTATTTATACACTTTACCTAGGCAATTTTCCTATTACTAAGCTCTTTCCTTAAGTATAAAATACCTTACTACTTATAACTATAAGTAAGTAATAATAATAGGGTAAAGATAAGAACTTTCTTAATATTAGTAAAGTAGTATAAGGAGCTATTAATAAAGAAAAGCAAGTCTTAAACTACTAGTCCTAAGAAGTATAGTAAATCTAAAGATACTATATAGAAGGTAAATAAAGACTTATTATAAAAAGGTAAAGATTAATAATTTTAAAAATATTATTAAAGCTATATAGTAAAAGATCTAATAGCTATTAATAAAAGTTCTACTTTATTAAATATAATTTTACTTTATTTACTATACTAGCTTTAGTTAATAAGCTAGCTTACCTTTAGTAAGAATAGTTATATAAAGAAAGATAGCACTTTAATCTAAGTAGCTAGTAAAAAGAAGAAAGAGTATAAGGTATTAATATCTATAATAGTAAAATTATACTAGGTTTTACTAATATTATATATTAGGTTAAGTTTAATAGTATAAAGTACTCTTCTTATAATAAAAATCTCTAGAATTAATACTTAGCGAAATTATATTATTTATTCCCTAGCTAAGATAATTATAGAAATAAGCCTAATTACTACTATATAATTTAGTAATATATTCTTTAATAATACCTATTAGTAATTATTAAGGTATATAAGATGCTTATATAGAAGGAGTAGAAGGTCTATTAAATATAAGTTATAAGTAGGAAAAGTAGATTAAATAGGTAAAAGAAGAAGAAAGAAGAATTATAGTATTAATAACTATAAAGATTATATATAAATTATATAGAGGAATTACTATACTTTATAGCTAGAGACTATAGAGACCTTTCTTTTACTTCTAAATAACTACTAAATACTCTAATATAGGGCTAATATAGATATTCTAAAGTATTTAAGAGGAGGTATTAAAGGTATTCTAAAGTATCTAAGAGTTATATAACTTCCTTATATCTTATATAATAGTTATCTAAATTATATAAAAGTGGGTCTATTATAATAGGAAAAATTAGGGCATTTTTATAGTATATATAATTATACTATTATCCCTTATAGTAATAGTATAGGCTACTATACTAACTCCTTTTAAAGTTTTTTAATCTTTTTTTCGAATATTATAATATACTAAATAAAGGTAAAATCTATAAGGTTATAGTTAATCTAGAGTATTTCATTATAGTATAATCTAGGTAGTATTAATAAAAGAAGTAGAATTATTACTACCTTCTTACTAGTAGCTTATTAGTAGCTTACTACTATATACCTTATATTATATAATTTATAGGTTCTTTATAGCTTTTAGTAGTCTCTATTCCCTATAGCCTTTAGCTTCTAAATATATAATCTATATATTCTTTATAGCCTTTATCCTACTTTCTTTTAACTAAATATAATTATAATATAATATTAATAATAATAATTCTAGTATTTTTTTATTATCTAAAGAGTTTAATATTTAATATTTCTAATTTTTCTAGTTTTTTTAATCTTTTTAATCTTTTTAATCTTTTTAATCTTTTCTAATTTTTCTAATTTTTCTAA